CACAAACTAAAGCCTACCAATGCACACTCACACGCCTTTGCTACGCCCATACCAAATGAAAGCTACACCATGTTTACACTGTACTGCATTCACCGCCTAACCATTACGCACATAGCATACTTGAAAAAACAAATTGAACTATTTTACCGGCAAAAATCTAACCTCAGCATAATAAAAAAAACCCCAATACGAAACAAAACACACACAGACCAGTTACAACACCATTAGCATGACCACCAACCCCCTCCCCCCCCCCCCCCCCCCCAAAAAAAAAAAATGCACTAATCACAGACTATGTACGCACAAACCCATAGTAAATAAAGCTGCAACAAGGGTATACTATATTGCATTTCACCTCTAACCCCCTACGCACATAGCGAAATTGGGAAAAAAAAAGAAAAGATATACACAGTAATACCAACAAAAATCCAACCACATCGCAAAAATCTAACCTCAGCATAATAAAAAAAAAACCCCAATACAAAACAAAACACACACAGACCAGTTACAACACCATTAGTATGACCACTAACCCCCTCCCAAAAAAAATGCACTAATCACAGACTATGTACGCACAAACCCATAGTAAATAAAGCTACAACAAGGGTATACTATACTGCATTCACCTCTAACCCCCTACGCACATAGCTAAATTGGGGGAAAAAAAAGATATACACAGTAATACCAACAAAAATCCAACCACATCGCAAAAAATCTAACCTCAGCATAATAAAAAAACCCCAATACGAAACAAAACACACACAGACCAGTTACAACACCATTAGCATGACCACCAACTAGACTGCCTCCTGCTTGACCCATCCATGGAGACTCTGACGCCGTGTAATCGGAGAGAAGCTTCGAACGGAAGAAGAACAATCGGCGTAGGAGATGAGAGGGCGGAAATATTGACGGAACCGAGAGCAAGGTGAGAGAATAAAAATAAAAACCTAAAAAATCTAATCTCACACGCTTAGTAACCGGCGGAAATAAAGGCTTACAATAATAAAAGCCCAAATGAAAGTACAAAAACACCCCCTCCCATCTCAACAATTAGCGCACGTGTGGATAATAAGCAACCCCATCTGAGCCATTCATCAAAAGAAATCAACGACCAGGAAATAGGCTCACAAACTCACCTGACTAGGGGGTGCACTGGATTCAATATATATATATATATATATATATATATATATAAAGGAAGCAGGAAGCTGGCCAATTAGATTCACCCTTTTTCCCGCCCAAAAGTAAACGACGCCATTTTCTTCTTGTTTTCTTTTTCTTTTTCTTTTTTGCGTTATTTTTTATTGGTTGCAGAGATTGCCCTTCCCGATGTAGAATACAACTTGGGGACAAAGAAAGGTGTTGTTTCAAAAATAATAGGTTTCCTTCAGAAATCTATTAATTAGGTTGTTAGATACACACAACCTCGACATACACGAAACCTCTACATACACGAAACCGCTCTTTTATATATAGAGATACATGAATTCGTAAAATCCTGAACCTGAACGACCATCACGAAAGCAACATATTGTTTAAGGTAATTCAGGGGTTCTCAAGATGTCTGCCCAGTTCATTCTTTGTTGGCTGATGCACCCTAACAGACTTGGGCATTCTTTGTTGGTTGATTCACCCTCAACAGACCACCAAAGCTACTCACTTGGTGCGAACCTATTTGACCACTGAAAGCAAGAAAATCTATTAAAAGTTGAGAATGATTGTTTCATGATCAAGAGGTAAGTCATGCAACAGTGAAAAATGTTTTGCTTATTATTCTTTCTTATTTGTTAGTAGTCAGTAGACTACCACTTAAATATCAAATTCATTTTTTTTTTTATGTATTGAATGCATTGTATTTGTTTTGACAAACTTACATTGTAGTAAAGAAAAAAAAAACTCATAAAAGTCTAATAGGAATAGGTTTTCACATGTGAATGAGTATAATTATAAATACAGTTATTGAATCTAGGTTTGCTTATGTTGTATTTTCTATTATATAAGTTACTTTGATAGATTGTATATAATAGATATTACTAGAAGAGATAAAAGAAACAACAATGGTCCTGATTCTGATTTGTTCCCTGATTATGTGTTTGGGAGACTTGTGGAGACATGGACGGAGCCAGGACATGGACGGAGCCAGGAATTTTGTTGAATGGGGGTGAAGAAACACAGGCAAAAAAAAATTTAAAAATGATCAAATACAAGATTCAAATACAAAATATCGCATACGAATAATATTGTTAAAATACAAAATAGATTATAAATTACAGTACAAGATTTATGATGAACTACGGGATAATACTCATCTACGCTCTCTCATATTTTGAAATCGATGTAGAATTGCTTCATTTAAAACTTGATCAAAAATATCTTTTTTAACATACGGCACTAAGCATAATAAGTCATCACTAATTAATATAAATTGCTATAACTACATCACTGCTCACACATTCATTCACAAAAATGACAAAATCACAAATTCAACAAATCAACAAATTGCTCACAAATTGAACAAATCAACAATCTAGTAATCTACCAAACAGCCAAACTGCTCACATTCATGATTCATTATTCTGACCCGCCAATCGGCCAATTGCCATATACGGCCATACCAAACTGGCGAACTGCTCTCTGCTCACATTCATTATTCATAATTCATAAACAAATTCAACAATCACTTAAGCACATACAAAAAGCACATATATTAAATTGATTAAAAATAAAATTAGAGAAATTAGGGATTTAGGGTAAAAATAAAATTAGTGAAATTAGGGATTTAGGGTAAAAATAAGAACCTGAGTCAGAGGAAACGAGAGGGCAGAGGCATTGAGGCGGTGTTCATGGCTTCTGTCCTGCTGAGCGGTAAGGCGGTGAGCCGGCAGAGAGCCTGAGAGGCGACGATCAACGAACGGAGACGAGAGACGGGAGAAGCAGAGAGACGACGACTGACGAGCTCTGCAAATCTGCGATCTGCGATCTCAAATCTGAAATAAAGAAAATTAAAAAAAAACTTATGTATATAGTACAGTCCCAAAACGACATCGTTTCGTCTCTGTGGAGATATATTCTCCAGTAGAAAGGATAATTGGTGGCAAAGCTACGAGGTTGATGGATTTTGTTCTTAGAGGATGCTAAGTGTCTTCATTTGTTATTATTTTACTTCTTTCCTTTATTTTCCACTGTGTAGTGACTTAATTTATTTGACTAAAAAACTCAGCTAAGGTGCACTATATGGGATGGACATGTGGATCAGTTATTGCCTTATTTCAATGCTGAGTTGCCTTCAGTGTATTTAAGGGTTTCAAAGCAAGCAATCTGTATGTAGTTTTAATAAAAAAAATTGGTTACCTGCTTTAATTTCTGTTCTTATCCACAGTGTTCATTTGAGTTTGTCAGGTTCTTCAGTCTGTCAGCTCCTTTTAATGCATAATTTTTCTCCAGTTACCTATAAAGAAAAAAATGTTAGATATCACACTAATAAATGGCAGGTTGGATATGAGAACTAATTGGATTCATCCACTTTGTTTCACATCATATATTTAAAAATGCATTTAGTGAATGATAATATATTAAATTGGGATGGAATATTTGTTGTGTAATTAAAAATAAAAAACTAGGTAGGGTGTTACTCTCATGGAACTGCAAATATCATATAAAGGAACAATACTCTTAATTATCTTAATAGTTGTGATAAAAAAAAAATTAATATTAAAAGAACAGTTTCTGTCATGGAACTGCAAACTTTCACATAACAGTAGCTTTTATATAGAAATGCATTTAGTGATAATATGCACTTATAAGAGCCATGTTGATGTCTTTGACTACTTGTTCAGAATCATCACAGGAGAGAACCACAACTTCAACTACAACAGTGGGGTTTCATCTTAAAGTTGCTTGAGCTGACTACACTGTGAATCCAAAAAAAAACAAAAAAAAAAAAAACAAAAATCCTCCATTCACAACTGCAACAGACATATATCACATAACTTCATCGCAGAAACAACCATTGGCATATAGAAATAACGACAGGTATGAATGCCACTGACTCGCAATTTTTCTATACGAAAGTTGGATTAAATATTCTAATTAGACTTTTATTTTCGAAAAAAAAAACACAAAATCATCTGGATTATAAAGGTTTTACATGCAAAAAAGTTTAGGCTGATGGATGTCGCCGGCTACTGGCTACTGATCAGCAACATCAACATCAACGTGACTGAGATACATATATTTCTTATAATTGACTTGCAATATTTTTTACATGAAAGTTGGATTCATATTATTGGTAGAGTCAGAAAAATTATTAATAAAGAATGAACTTATCTTCAATATACGCTTTTTCTACACTGCCGTGCCTTTTTTGAAGCTTCAGCCTGTGTGCATGTGCATATATGGAACTGCAAAGTATGCTTTTAGCTTCAAAATTCATATTCAATGCCTAACGTTGTTTAGATCTATAGTTGAAAGAATATATAAAATTTGTGAAACTATAATTTTTTTATAACTATAGTAATAATGATAATATTTTTTTATTATTATTGTTGTTGTTGTTAGAATTATTTTTTGTTTCATGTGAGTATTTCTTTTCCATAGTCTAATTAAGTATTGAACATCACCTATGCTGGAAATTGTATGGAAAGATCTAAAGGGGAAAGTTCTAGCTCTTCGCCTCTTCGAGTTATTCAACTGCAGTGAGGAAATGTTACTTGTATGGGGAATGGATTCAAGTATGTGTTATTGCAGATCAATATGTGGTCTACAATGAAGTTTTTAATAATTTGTAAGAGTTAATACCAGCCAAGGTCCCTCAAGTATAGTGGTTCCGCCACCTATGATCCTAATCTTTCAAATCAACCCTCCGTGATCCTCCAAGTTTCAAAAATGACCTGCCATAGTCCTACCGTTAGTGTTTTCCGTTTCAGCCATCAAATGTGAGGGCATAATAATCTTTTCATTTATTATCCAGCCAAAACAATTCATTTTGTGAGGATAAACATCGTCGAGGTCACTAACGACGGCGATGAGCTTTGCTTTTCCGTCAGAATCGCTTCCGCCTGCTTCCCGATCGACAACTTCTACGAGAGTGCTGAGTGCAGCCGCGGATTCGACTGCGTGAATTCGCTCAAATCTGAAACTACCCCCATTGCCAGGCTCAATCTCAAACGCCTTGCCGCGTTTTCTTCCTAATTCTACTCTGTAACTTCCAGAAACGCGGGTTAGTGGTGTTATTGCCTTTGTCGCAAAGGCACAAGAAATCCTGCGTCTCAGTATCAAAACCCACACGTCTCGCCGCCCTTAGTAACATCTTGGCACTCCAAGCACTTCGCCGTCACCGGAATATCGAAGTCCACTCGGATGCCGTACTCCGGCACCTGGTTAAACGCTGGGGTGGCGCCAAGGTTCCGACAGTACACGCCGGTGTATGACGCGTAGTGACGCAACATTAACCTCGACTATTCCGCCCCCTTGGGGTAATACGAGCAGCTGGAGCTGCCGCTGCGCAGGGTGGAGGGACACTCCGGTAGGTGGCGGCACAGGAAGCTGGTGTTTTCGCACGTCGAGTCGCACCGCTCAGGGAACTGCTCGCAGAACGCCGGCTTCGGCTCCACGATCACCTTCTCACCGCTGCAGTTGAAGAACAGATAATTGTTCTGCGGCGATAAATTGAAGTGGGTGCTCGTGTCCAGGCTGAACGGCTGCGTTGGCCGGAAATCCTCGCCGTCGTCGTCATAATCCATCGTTGAAATGGATTAGGTAGGGCTAATTTTAATTTCTGAGCATTGAAATATGTGAAAGGTCCATTATGCCCTCACATTTGATGGCTGAAACGAAAAACACTACGGTAGGACAGTAGCAGGTCATTTTTGAAACTTGGAGGATCACGGAGGGTTGATTTGAAAGTTTAGGACCATAAGTGGCGGAACCACTACATTCGAGGGACCTTGGCTGATATTAACTCTAATTTGTAACTACAATTTATAAATTTTAGTATTAGTAAACTTTAAATCAAATATATTTAATGATTTTTGTAATATATGAATTGAATATATGTTTACATTAAGTTGTGTAATTTTTTTTTTTCACTAAATACTTATATTATAATAGGCAAGAATGTGTATATATGTGCTGCTCACCTTAATAAAAATCAATTCTAATTTTAATTGCTAATCTTTATGGTCATAATTTTATTATTGCAAGTGAGCAAATAATTAAAGAAAAAACCTCATATTACTTTTTTATATATAACATTTATTAACATTAATAGTTTTAAATATTATTACATAATTATACTATTTTAAAATTTTAGTTCGTGCATCGTACGGGTGGCATACTAGTTTTTTACGCGAATTGCGCGATTGGGATAATGCCCAAAGTTTTTTTTTTTTTTTAAGTACTTTAAAGTAAATCAAGGCAAGATTATATTGGAATTGTTCATGCATAGATAATTGAATGTTGAATTTGCGTATTTAAAAAGGTAATTCTAAGTTTACAAATGCAAGATAATATAGTCTAGATTGATTATAATTGTCAATAAAATAATTGTATAGGTATGGTTGAAACCAAATACGGGACATAAGGGAGAGCAAATACAAATTATGGCATAAAATATTAAATATATACTAATATTGAAGAGCTAACTGCTGATTGCCAAACCAGGATATTGCGATGTAGTTTTCCACTTCAATTTGTTGTGTGATTTGAATACTCTTTTTGTCAATAAATCCCCAAAGTAGTTAATATGATTGACTTAATTATATTTTTTTTTTTATTTTTTAAAAACAATTATTATTATTATTATTATTATTATTATTATTATTATTATTATTATTATTATTATTATTATTATTATTATTATTATTATTATTATTATTATTATTATATGTATACCATTAGATCATTTTACATGTTAATCTAAACAGCTAATTTTTTCAAATATCTTTTTACCAACCGTTGATATAATTCGCTGGTCAAATCCGCTAATGTTAACCGCTAACTGCTGATTGTCAAACAAGGACATTGCGAGGTAGTTCTCACTTCAATTTGTTCTGTGATTTGAATACTCTCTTTGTCAACAGATCACTCAAGTAGTTAATATGATTGACTTTATTAATTATATTTTTTAATTTTTTCATGGTATTAATAAAATACTTGGTAAATAAATATATATAGCATTATTTTGTATTATAACTTTGATATTTAATTAAAAAATAGTGAACAAAAAAGATAATAGACAATATAGTGAATATAATCAATTGATGAATTTGAATGTAAAGAATTTTTACATTGGAGAAAGATAAAGACAATATAATTAATAAAATTATTTCTCTTAATTAATTTATTGATAATGAATATATATTTTTTTTAATAAAGACATTGTAGGGACAATGTAGCGAATATAATCAATTGATGAATTTGAATGTAAAGAATTTTTATATTGGAGAAAAATAAAGATAATATAACTAATGAAATTATTTCTCTTATTTAATTTATTGATAATGAATAAGTTTTTTTTTTTTTTTTTTTGAATAAAAACATTGTAGACACATAATTCTAAATTAAAGTAATGTATATGTATTATTTTTTGGTGTAGCTACTAAATTATTATTTAATTTAGTAAGAGTAAAATATAGTACTAATTATGCCAACTTTGATTGGGATGAGGTTCGAACCTAAGACCTTTCTTATTGAAATAAATGAGTAATGTTAACGGTGAACTAACAGAAATTAACGGAAAATATAATATTTAACGGAAAAGTTAACGGATAATCATATTCATGATAAATTAGGAAATCTTAAGAAAAAATTAAAATCTGATCAATCTGAGCCATTCATTTAATTAAAAAATTTGGTCGCCATCTTTCCTACCGATTATATAGGCCTAACTCTCTTGGGCTCTTATTAGTATAGTAGATATATTTATATTATGTAATGTGATACAAAGAAATATTCAATATAGTATGTGAATGTAGAATTTTCATTCCTATTACTGATCAAATTAAACAAAACCTTGATGAGTTCCTTAGCATTGTGAACAAATAATTGAATTTTTATGTTAAATAGATAAAATAAAGAAATAAATATGATTGCTTAATTACTTTTCCAATTGGGTAATTTATATCATGTCAAAATTACAAATTTAATTCCCAAAATCATTATTGATTTTTATAAGTTCCTCTCAGTAAAAGAATGACACCAGTTCAATAGTTATCCTGTGCAACCGAATGTACCATGCGCATGGTGCATACGGTTCAAAACAACGTCGTTTTGATTAAAAACGCGCGTCCCACTTTAAAAAAAAAAAATCAGGTTCGACTCTCAGCAATAGCATTATTGTGGATATATAGTTATGAAATTGTGGATATATAGTTATGAAATTGTGGTTATATAGTTATGAATTTATGGATATTTAGTTCATTCATTCTGGATATTTAGTTCAATCATATATTGTGGATATTTAGTTCATTCATTGTGGATTTTTACTTCATTCATTCATTCATTGTGGATTTTTACTTCATTCATTCATTCATTGTGGATTTTTACTTCATTCATTCACTGTGGATATATAGTTATGAAATTGTGGATATATAGTTATGAAATTGTGGTTATATAGTTATGAATTTATGGATATTTAGTTCATTCATTGTGGATATTTAGTTCAATCATATATTGTGGATATTTAGTTCATTCATTGTGGATTTTTACTTCATTCATTCATTCATTGTGGATTTTTTACTTCATTCATTCATTCATTGTGGATTTTTACTTCATCTATTCACTGTGGATATATAGTTATGAAATTGTGGATATATAGTTATGAAATTGTGGTTATATAGTTATGAATTTCTGGATATATAAAAATGCTATTGCCGGGAATCGAACCTGATTTCTTCTTTAAGTGGGACGCGCGTTTTTTTAACCAAAACGGCACCGTTTTGCAACTAATAAGAACCAGCACACATGGAATCCAATAAGGGTCTATAGTGGGCTCATCACAAGGCCAAAAAGTACATCCTTAAAGCATCATTGGTGGAAAAATCAAGGAATTCCAATAATAATTCCATTCGATAGAGGAAAGTATTATAGTGGCCCGTTTCAAGTGATGTCACGGATCGAAGACAATGTTTATAAGATTCGAGGTCGAATCATTTTTCAAGAAGGGGAGGATGATGCGGCCCAACATAATGAAGATCCATTAAGATTACAAATTGGGCCAATCACAAGATCCGAGGCCCAAATCAGCTTTATTATTTGTGGTCATCATTTATTTTAAATTGTTTAGAATTAAAGAGAAAACACTAGTTGTATTTAGAAAGGATTCCTTAAATCCTTTTCTAAATAAAACTCTATTTACTTGTTTTCTAGATTAGGTTTAGGACTTTTTTTCCCATTGTATTTAGATTACAATGCTGCCCTATACCTATAAATAGGGCACATCCATATCAGTTTTGAGGAGGCTTTAATTCAATAAAATTTTTAAGTTTTTCTTTACACTTGTGTAAGAAACCTTATGGCTAATTGTGGACTCAATTAGTGGCTAGTCGTGGACTCGACTAGCAAATTGATTCGTGGACTCGAATCAATCTTACTTTCTTCAACCTTAGATTTAGGTTCGTGGACTCGTTCTTGAATCGAAGGAAACTAGATCCGACTCTAGTTGATTGAAGATTGCATCATCGAGGTACTTGAAGCTACAATGGGATTCTTCCAAGTCTTTGAGGATTCGAGACAAAGGGGTTCTCGTGAGGTTTAAGGTATTTTGATCCATCTCTATCTTTACATTGAGAGCAATTCTTGGGACAATACTCATCTTATTTGAATCTTGGACTAGGTTCATATCAATTTGGTATTCAGAGCCTAGGTTTGTCTCGTTATCATTGGAAATTTGGTTTCTTTGGTTCCCTAGGTTTATCTCGTTCTTATCTTACATACTACATTTATTCGTGTCTTATTCATTAAAAAAACCCCCCCAAAAATTTTCTTTTGCATTCTTGATTGTGTTCTTGAATCTTGATACATGTTCTCCAGTTTCTTGAAAAACAATCCCGAAAGTGAAGTTTTCCACCTCTTACCTGCGAGCTGAGAATAGTGAGGGAGCGAGCCAACTTTTTGGCTTCACTAACGTGATTACTCACACATCTTCTTGTTTTTTTTTTTTTAGATATTTTGTTTCCTATACAGATGGCTGATCAAGTTCCAAACTTTCCCCAGACATTAGAACAAAAGATAGACAGGTTACTCAAACGAATGAATAATTTGGAGCAACGCTCACAGCAAGTGCAACCACCACACAATGATGAGCGACACCTGCCACCAGTAGGAAGAGTGGATCCTATATGTCAAAGGATCCAGCAGCGTAATGTGGAGTTGGGAAACATTAAACATGAAATTCCTAACTTCACCGGTGAGAAAGGACCTACCGAATACATAGAATGGGAGAATGCTGTTGAAACTCTTTTTTATTTAAAGCAATATTCTGATCTTACAAAAATTAGGATAGTTGCTACATCTTTTAAGGGGTATGCATTATCTTGGTGGCGAAAAAGAAATATAGAAAGAGTTGCTAATTTTATTCCCTATGAATCTTGGGTTCAAGTGAGGGAAGATATGCGCCTAACTTTTCGTCCTAAATCTTTTTTCTATGATCTTGAAAGAAAATTGCAGGGAACGGTGCAAGGAAAAAAGTCAGTTGATGAGTACTACCAAACTACAAATATTTTGCTTAAACAGGGAGACATACATGAAGAAGAGACAAAAACTGTTGCTCGTTTCGTACATGGATTGAACTTAGAAATTCGATGTGGAATGAGTATTCAGAGATATGACACCCTTTATGATGCCTTGTATGCTGCACGTGAATCTGAGGCAAAAATCAAAGAGATGAAATTGTACAAGTCCAACAATGGTGCATCAAGATGGAACAACACAAGTTCCACCCCTAAAAGGCGTGATGAACATCCCCCTCCAAGAG